ACTACAGAGTGTGAAGGCGGATCCACAACACGCAGAAGGGGACACAGGCATCCAACATTCCCATCTGTGTTGAATGCTGGAGAGTCTGGTGCAAATGTTGCAATTAAAAGGAAGGGGGGTAGGAGACCTGGACCACCGTAGATATGAACATAATCCATCTTCTATTGCATGGACCTGCCATTTGGATTTACCTAAAGACTTGACAGGGTCTCTTTAAAGTGACGTACCACTTGATAAGCAATAATTATTCCAATGACTAGTTAATAAGCCACCATGACAGTAGGAACCAAGTTGCTCTCACCTTAGAAAATCCATAACAAGGTGCTGACAGAAGATCCTTTTCTAATAAAGATTAAAACTGCTGTTAGGTTACGGCCCAGAATTCATAAACAGACCCCTTCTACAGGGGCCCATCGTGGCGGTTGTGCAAAGACACGGCTAAATGCCTTTGAAAAATGTTCATTAATATGTTAATTAAAATTATACATCGCACGTTTAAATAGCAATTATAAATTACAAGACTCTTGGACGTTGATTGTCAAAGGCTGCCTGGAGATGTATCTCCCTGTAGCGGATATCTCAGCTTCGGCACGCAATACCTTGTATTGTCCAAGCCTAGCTGCCATGTTATCGCAGGCTGAAACACCGGATTATCTGGCACACCGCCAGCACAAATGTGCACTTATGGGGTGCTGCAACTTTGTGCTGCTGAGATGGCACATACTCTATAAATACTCTGAACTTTGGACCAGTTCATGATGACTTCATAATTGCTGAGGATGATGGGAGTGGTTGCAAATCGCTTCCAAGCTTGGCGATGAAGAAAAGAGAGTTTTACAACCAACAGAAAAAAATGTTTTAAACATATTTGCAACTACATTATTAATATTATACAGGATTTATTTAGCGCCAACAGTTTGAGCAGTGCTTTTCAAAATGGAGAGACACAGTACATTAGAACTTACAATCTAAAAGGGAGGGTCACGTGATACAAAATGTAATAACTGTAAGAGCTTGTTTACAATACAAAACACTATGTTGCCTGCTCACAGCCTGTTGTAAGCCCTAAATGCCACCTCAATCACATACACTGCTGCACGGTCCCATTCACTTGACTTAGTCAAGTTCAGCGGAAGGTAGTGCCCATTGAGCGCAACAAGGGGCATAAATCCTGCCCCTGCCATGAAGCAAAGCATTGCCACCATGGTTTGTTTACACTCCAACCACTGCCTTTGCAGCTAAAGCAGCAGCAGCTTGAGGGTGTTAAAAATGTGACTCAGCTGCGTGGTTTTACCACCTCTCCACCACAATTGTAAATGAGTCTTTGGTGATGAGCTGATGGAGACATAAAAGGTACAGTTTATTGGTTAGGCTTCTCTAAAGAGATGGGTTTTAAGGGATTGCCTAAAGGTGGCTAGAGTAGGAGATAGTGGGATATATTGGGGTAGGGAGTTCAAGAGGAAGAGAGAGGCTCTGGAGAAGTCCTGGAGGTGAGCATGGGAGGAGATAGGTCTGGGTGTATGTACAGTTGAAAGAAAAAGTATGTGAACCCCTTGGGATTACGTGGCATTTTGCATGAATTGGGCATAAAATGTGCTCTGAACGTCATCTAAGTCACAACAATAGAAGAACACAGTCTGCTGAACATAATACTACACAAACATTAGATGTTGCCATGGTTTAATTGCATATAACATGTAAACATTCACAGTGCAGGGAGGAAAAAGTATGTGAACCTTTGGACCTAATAACTGGTTGACCCTCCTTTAGCAGCAATAACCTCAACCAAACGTTTCCTGTAGTTGCAGATCAGACCTGCACAACGATCTGCAGTCATTTTGGACCACTCCTCTTCACAAAACTGTTTCAGTGTAGCAATCAGTCTACCAATTCATGCAAAACTCCACGTAATCCCAAGGGGTTCACATACTTTTTCTTGCAACTGTAGATGAGGTATGAGATGAGGTTGGTGATGTAGCTGAATGGGTGGTAGTGTTTGTAATGTGGATGAGTCTGGCAGTGGGATTCATGATGGACTGAAGGGGGAATAGTCTATGTAAAGGTAACCCAATAAGAAGGGAATTACAAAAGTCGAAGTGAGACATAACCAGGGAGAGAAATATTAGCTTTATGGTGTGGGTTGGTTAAGAAGGCGCGTATTTTGGAGATGTTACAGAAGGTAGGAGGCAAGATTTGGACAGTGATTACTCCTAGCACCCTGGCTGAACCATTCACCTTGTTGGAGAAGTCGGGGGAGTGGGTCAGGGTCAGTGGCTCATATTAACCTCCTTAGCACAGGAAGAGTACAGCTGCAGGGGTATGGGGGGAGGGGGGGTTAAGGGCTGAGGACTTTTCAATTAGGACAGTCAGCACCAGCACAAGGGACACATTAAATGTAAGTACTGGCCCTTATACTGATTAAAAAAAAAAAACAACTAAACATAAGCTTTAAAAACTGTAATAAATAACAACAGCATAAAGAAATACAGATTTTAAATAAATCTAATTGTTTTTGGGGTCTCCATGTCTCTAATAGTGTCCATACAGGTATCAATGTTACAGTTTAATATAATGATCAATTCTTCAAAGGAATGCATCTGTTGGCTGATTGATTTAATCAACAAGTGATCATCGCCTTTATAAACAAATGATTTATCCTTGTGGAAAATCCAATCAAATCTGGAGCACATCGACCTTTTCTTTGTTGTTCAAAGCGATCATTTTTAAGCCAAAGAACATTGCAAACAACCAAATGTATAATCAATTGATTGTTCTTTTATCCATATATGTATGACTGGTCTGACAGTCAGCTCAGGAAAGAAATTCTAATGTTGGAATCTTTTAGAAATGTGTTACTACATTTTATAATAAATAAAAAAAAAATACTAATGTGAATAAAATAAATACAAATGGGTTATGTGAAGAAAAAAGCTGCAGCACTAAAAGCTTCCACCTTCCAGACCTAATAGGGCACAACAATGCCGTGCTAAAATCAAATAATAAGATGTGGACAATCAGGGGCGGACTAATTTGGAAACTGTGGACCCAATACTAAAATGCTAACATGCTCCATGGCAAATGTTTTTCACAAATATAAATGCATGAATTAAAAAAAAATGTTTAAAAAAAAATGTCAACTGTGAATGATGTGTTAATAATGAAAAAAATGAAATTGGTGAAAATCGTCTTTGTGAATAATAAATGCTTAGTTCATCCACTCACAAATCTGTGTCACAATTTAGTGGATGAAAAAAATATTCAATCAAACGTGAATTTGAGAAACTCCACCACCAGATAGAAAGAAGATGGACGCTCACCTAAACTCATGGACCTTTAGATTAAAAAGGTCACAAATGCCTGTTCCCCTTTAAGAGTCAGGATCAGCTACAGGTGGCTAGCAGTTGTTCCAAAGAATACATCTCCAAAAGTCACATAAAAACCATAGAAGACATCAAGGAAAACACTGACAGTGCCCTCTGTATTGAAATTCATTAAGTGACTTCACTCTCTGTAAAAACCGCACTCACAATGCAACTGAATAACAGGCTTATCAGTACACAGAGAGGGTTAGGCTCCTGCTGCTCGCAGCTCCCTGCTCTCACAGGCTGACAGCTCAGGTGCTGGGATGGATCAGGCAGCAGATAAAAAGATAACTCTCCTCTGCTCCAGACTGATGCCTCTCAGGAACCTCTGCCCCTACACGTTGCGTCGACTGGGAACTTCTTCAAAGGGGACCAGAGCTCGATAAAGCAATTACTTAACCCCTTCACGCTGGCTGCACGCAAATGTGCGGCCTCCCGGCTCCTGGTGTCTGAGTCTAGATGCCGAGCGGCCCGCACATTTGCGTTCATGTAACAAAAAATATATGTGCTGAGAGCGCGCCACGCCCTGCGCGCTCCCAGCACACGTGCTGTACTCACGGAAAGGTCCCGGTCCGCTCTTTCGATCGGGACCTTTCCCGATCATGTGACCGGCCGTGACATGACGTCACGGCAGCCACATGACACTAAGCCCTGTCCTGCCCACCTCTCAGAGCAGGAACTCCTCTTCACACCGGGACGATCCGACGTGAAGGGGTTAAAGAGTAACTTCATTTTTGTTGGGGAAAAAAAAAACATTCCTCTCTAGATCATCAATGTACATTGCAAGGATTTTAACACAGTTCGTTGAAGATTCCTACCTTTTGTTATTCTGAAGAAACAGCTGTTTGTTTGTTTGTTTGTTTGTTTGTCTGTGTCCATGTGCAAAGTGAAGGAGAATGGGATTGGTTTTATAACTATCAATCAGCTGTTGCACTTGCAGGGTTTTAATGAAGAAGATTGCAGGGTAAGCATCCTTTAGAGGTGATTTCCATTTGTGAGTATCTCACCAAAAATGAAATTTTATTGCAGGGGATGCCAAAAGACTCCCTGCAGCCCACCCCCAAAAACCAAGCTGTCATCCATGCCTAATGTAAACCTTAAAAATAAACGTTATCTATTTACTCTCTTTTAGTTTGTTAAAAAAAAAAAAACATTGAAAGTGTTTTGTTAGGCTTAATAACTGCAAGAAAAAACCAGTTGATCCTGCTAGAAATCCAGATAACTTCCTGCATTCCCTACGCTGACTTGCTTTGTTCCAAGCTATCTCCTGTAGAATACAGAACACCTCCCCCTATGAGATGATGAGAATAGGAAAGTCTTCTGTAGTCCTAGCACACTTTCAGTCTGAGGGTGACAATGTTACTCACTCCATAGATACAGTACAATGAGTGTTGTCACTCTAGGACAGGAAGTGTAATATTCCGGCGCTATGTTAAATATCAATACCAAACCAAGTGAAATGTGAAATCACACCAATATTAACTAGTTGCCGACCGCAGATAGCCGAGCCGAATGACGGCTCCACTGCGGCTGGCCAGTTCTGGGAGGACGTCATAGGATGTCCCCCCAGAACGCGCTCTCCTGCGCGCCCCAGGGGGCGTGCACCCGGCGATCTCCGTGATCGCTGTGTCCTACGGACACAGCTGATCACGTGATGTGGTAAAAGGCCGATCACAGCGGCCTTTTACACGTGATCAGCGGTGTCCAATGACATGCTGATCAGAGGGAAATGCAAGTGCCGGTTCTCGGCTGCACTTTCCTCACGCTGTCAGATCGTGAGGAAAGTACTGCCGAGAACTGGCAGTTGTCAGAGTGGGGATCGGCACCGATCATCAGGGCACTGATGATCAGTGCCCTGATGATCGGTGCCCAGCAGTGCCACCCGCAAGTACCGCCCACCTGTGCCCAGCAGTGCGCCCACTAGCTCCGCCCACCTGTTGCCCAGCAGATCACCCACCTGTGCCCAGCAGTGCACCCCACCTGTGCCACTCTGCAGTGTCACACACCTGTGCCCAGAAGTGCCACCTACCTGTGCCCAGCAGTGCCACCCACCTGTGCCCACCCACCTGTGCCCACCAGTGCCACCCATCTGTGCCCACCAGTGCCACCCACCTGTGCCCACCCACAGTGCTGCCCACCAGTGCCATCCACCAATGCAGCCCAGCAGTGCTGCCAGTCAGTGCCACCAGTCAGTGCCCAGGGGTTGTGCCAGTCAGTGCCGCCAGTCAGTGCACAGCAGTGATGCCAGTCAGTGCCGTCTATCAGTACCCATCATCCGTGTCACCTATCAGTGCCGCCTATCAGTGCTGCATATTAGTGCCGCCTATCCGTGACACCTCATTAGTGCTGTCTATCAGTGCCGCCTATCCGTGCCACCTCATTAGTACTGCCTATCAGTGCCCTTTAGTGCTGCCTATCAGTGCCCATCAGTGCCGCCTATCAGTGCCCATCAGTGCTGCCTCATCAACGCACATCAGTGAAGGAGAAAAATTACCTGTTTGAAAAATTTTATAATAGAAACAAAGAAACGTTTTTTTGTTTTTTTTCAAATTTTTTGCACTTTTTTTATTTATAGCGCAAAAAGTAAAGCGCCCAGCGGCGATTAAATACCACCAAAATAAAGCTCTATTTGTGAGAAAAAAATGATCAAAATTTCATATGGGTACAATGTTGCATGACCGCGCAATTGCCAATCAAAGTGCGACAGCGCTGAAAGCTGAAAATTGGCCTGGTAAGGAAGGGGGTATAAGTGCCTGGTAGGCAAGTGGTTAAATAAATGAATACAATATAAATACATCATTATGTGAATAATAATTTGTGTGAGCTTCTGAAGACGCCCTGTGGGAGGGTTGAAATGAGTTGGGGGGGGGGTATTTGATTGGAAATATATGTGAAAGAGCAGCGCTGCTAAATGATTGTAGTGTGAAGCCTGAAAAATAAAAACGAATGCAGAAATAATAAGCTGAAATATATTAAATTTTTGTTCCTGACTGTAATTCCAAAATAAGAGTCTTGTAAATGCATTTAAAACTGTTTTTAAAAAAACAGACCACCTTCATTCCTTGTCCCCCCCCCCAAAAAAAAACCATCACAATTCTTTGTTTGCTTGTGTTTTGTATTTCACTAAACATGATCGCGAATTAATAAAAATATTTGGAGGACAAAATCAAATGTTATTAGGTTTTTTCTCTACAGGTATTTGTTCAGAAAAATAAAGTGTTTCAGGAAAATGCCGCATTATTGTCAACAGAGGGCGCTGACCATCAACTTAAATAAGTGTAACACACTGCATGGTTACTTTCTGCAGACTGTTAGATGGCCACAAGATGGCAATGCTCTGCAGTTCAGCTGGCACAGAAAAATATACAGCAATGCAAAGAATGCTGGGACTTGTATTCTGCATGCAGGATTTATTCTTTCAGTTTAGTTGACACAGAACTACAGTTCCCAAGTGGGGGAGCAAAGGAACGAGAGCAGATAAAAAAGGAAATCCCAGAAAAAAAGGAAGGAGACTATGAGAGAGTGAGGATGTGTGTGCTAAAGTCTACTTCGGCTCCTTTCCCAGCTTTAACAATTCTTGCATTCATCTCCTGTGTTAAAGGGACCTTCCCCAGTTTCTCATCATCAGTTTAGGGGGACCTTCTCTTGTTACTATACCCTCTTCTGGAGATCATATTCCCATCCAAAAGGACCTCAACTCTGATGTGCACCAACTGGGGCCCCATCAAGTGTGCAGAAGAATCTGCTCCTATATTTGGGAGTGATACCAAAGGGGACATTATTGCATGTAAATTAATTTGAAAGTTCAAGCCTGTGTCTTGTCATTGAGAGTCCATAGGTGAATTAATCCAACTACTCTTTATACTCAGTTTCAGCTCACTTTGGGGGAAAATATCTCAGGGCTGGAATTACTGGTTAAACTCTGGTCCTGCAGGATAATTGGATGTATTTAAAGTGGTACTGTGTATGTTCATTTAGGCTAAATTTTCTAGAGTTACTGCCTTTTGTACACACCTGTTAACGTTTCATTTGTGCCTGCATTGCTTTACCCTAACTTCAATACAATCAGAGCACTTATTCACTTTAAACTGTGTGATTATTTTGTGTGTAGTAACCAGGGGATTCTCCTGGTCAAGGTTATATGGTGGTGACAGCAGGGGCCGTGCTCCAAATCGGGAACAGAGAGAACAGGGGATCTCAAATACTCAGCGGCTCCTTAGGGGGTAGCGCTACATAAGTATTTCCTATCATCCATCTAGTGGCCATAAAGTGGTATTTTTCTCTCTATCCCCTCTATTATGATGGAAAAAATAACATTCAACCTGGTAAGGAAATAGCCTAATAACATTTGATTTTCCCTCATTCACACAGAACAAATGTGCATGCAGTTTCAAGGAATGATAAGCTCTGCAATGTTTTATAAATACACCACTGAGTGTTCAGCCCCTTGCAATTGCAGTTGGAGCCTCGTTGATATATAATCATGGTACTGCACTTGTACTGTATTCATGTATTATACCTGTACAGCTATAATCAGTTCAGTAGGACCTTGCTCTGTGATTTCATTTGGCAGTGTACTTCTATTTGTGTTAAAGTTCCTGTCAAAACCTTTGAAGAATGTAGCAAATATACTCTTTAAAAAAAACTAATTTAATCTTCAGGATATATGCACACCTGTTACACAGCTTGCGTATTATAAGCCTAATTTCCAGTCTAAATGGGAATCAGATATAACTGCTTCGCTCCACACCGAGCACAAATTATCAGGAAAAGAATGGACACTTTTGCAGCAGATACTCGATGGCAGGACTTCTGCTACTAATTGGATTCAATGCTACAGAACTCCAGGCTTATTAAATCAAAGGAACAAACAATCCTGCCTGCTGCACATGTAACAGCCACATGTGAAATGATAGATCTATGTGTGGTATTGATATGTAGATGTATATGCTGTATATACTGTATATATACACTATGTTGCCAAAAGTATTAGGATATCCCTTCAAATCATTGAATTCAGGTGTTCCAATCACCTTCATGGCCAAAGGTGTATAAAATCATCACATAGGCATGCAGACTGTTTCTACAAACATTTGTGGAAGAATAGGTCGCTCTCAGGAGCTTAGTGACTCTAAGGCAGGGGTGGGCAAACTTTTTGACTTGAGGGCCGCAATGGGTTCATATATTGGACCCGGGGGCCGGACCAAGAGTAGATGAATGATGTGTATGTGTCATCCATAGTAAGTATAGTAATATTCCCCCATAGTAAGCATAGTAATTAATCCCCCATATAGTAATTCATCCCCCATAGTAATTCATCCCCCATAGTAATGCATCCCCCATAGTAATTCATCCCCCCATAGTAATTCATCCCCCATAGTAATGCATCCCCCATAGTAATTCATCCCCCATAGTAATTCATCCCCCATATAGTAATTCATCCCCCATATAGTAATTCATCCCCCATATAGTAATTCATCCCCCCTATAGTAATTCATTTCCCATATTAATTCATCCCCCATATTAAGTCCCCAAGTCCCCCCCTGTGTCAATTTACTTACCTTTGCTCCACGCGTTCCTCTCGCCGTGTTCCCGTGCCGTTCCGGTCTTCAGGGCGGACTGTGAGAGGAGCCTAGCTCCCCTCACGTTCGTCACGCTGCCCCGCCTACACACATCCTGACAGCCATCCTGACAGCTCCACGGGCCGGATTAAAAGGTCCGCCGGGCCGTATACGGCCCGCGGGCCGTAGTTTGCCCATTGCTGCTCTAAGGGCTCGTTCACACTTGACTGTTTTTCCAACTCTTACCAAACGCCCCTATAGCGTTTGACAAGCGTTGGTCCGCATGCGCAGTTCAGTGGCGGTTGCTAGGCGTTTGCCGAGCATAAAAACGCCCCACAAATGGCTATAATGAAGTTTGAATGGTGTTAACGCTCCGCAAACGCCCTGCAACCGCATCGCAATCGCACTGCAGATGCCAGCCGGGCACCATAGACTTGAATAGGAGGCTTCAACTCCTCCTGACTTGACCAGAGGCGTCCGTTTTGCCGTGACGCGACGCAACACGACGCTAACGCTCCCGTTTGAACAGCACTATGTGCTGCAATGTGCAGAATTTTCCCAGGCATTTGGGAAACGGTAAAAACACTTCCCAAACGCCTGTTTGCCGCTTGCTAACAAGGCTAGTGTGAACCTAGCCTAAGTGTGGTACCCTGATAGGTGGCCACCTGGGCAATAAGTCCATCCATGACATTTCCTGGCTACTAAATATTCCACACTCAACTGTTAGTGGTATTATAACAAAGTGGAAGCAACTGGGAACAACAGCAACTCAGCCACCAAGTGGTAGGCCACGTAAAATGACAGAGCGGGGTCAACGCATGCTGAAGCGCACAGTGCGCAGAAGTCGCCAACTTGCTTTGCTTGCAGATTTGGTCTCCTGCCCAGCTGTGGCTGACTGCTGCTTGCTTCCTGGCTTTTCTTCCATCTCCTACTCTGGTGCCAAGCTGCTTCAGTATCCTGTCCTGAAGATTTCAACTTCCAGCTTTACCCACCAAAAGAGCGGACATCAAAGGACAGTTACTCTAGCACTTGTCCTCCAAAGTAAGGAGAAGTCGGCAAAAAGGTGAGTATAGATAAAGTAAATCTTTATTCAGTCCAAAGGAGTACATGCATTCCAAAATGGAGCCACCTCCGGCTCCATTGTGTCTTCACACTTTCTGTCTCCACCTTCAGGAGTGTTGGGCAGGAGGTACAAAAGAGGCCTCTACTACATTCCAGTCTCCACCGGGTACTTGATAGTTACTGAGCATGTACGCTAACTGAAAAAAAGGGTCTTAAAGTAAAACTAAACCACCACTAATGGAACAAATACCTGCATTCCAGTAGGCATTCCTTCCCCAGCCTTTTCTGTGCCTTTGGCTGTCTTTATTGGCCAGAGTGGGATGGCATAACTTCTGCCTTAGTTTTTTCTTTTAATTTTGTTTGC